ACTGCTGATTGCCACCTAGTGGAAAGGTAGGTTTGCAGAAACGTCACACTGTGTCTCCATCCGCCTCGCTCGCGATATGTAATACCACGCTGCTTGTGGCTCTCTCCCATGAAAGGCAAATGTTTGAAACCAATCCAGGACCCTGAGGTAGCCTTAAGAACCCACCTGAACACACTCATGAAGGACTCCAGGGCTGCTTCAGAAAGTCGCAAGAGTGGTGGGAGACGTGTTGGAAGGAAGGGTGGTTCATTCTGATGCAGATGAACAGTACCGTATCTCTTGCTGTTACAAACGTTTTAACTTATAATTCACTGTATATTTTATTACACTGATAGACATTTTCCTTTGAAAACTGCCCAATGAATGTTCACCAGGAGGAGAGAAGTTAACGAAGGTTTTCTGACACACTGTGGAACAAGGGGTCTTTCCTGCCCTTGATCTTTGCAGGCTCCTAAGCTGTTTTGCAAATTCACGACCTTCACTGCTCTATTACAATGTTTGTTTCCGTGAAGGAACCCACCTCCAGCAATTCGAACCCTGCCCCACAGTCCTCTCTCCACTTAGTGCAGGGAGAGGCTCGCCGGGCCCCACGGAGTGCTGCGGGCAGCCCCCGCGCTCTTGCGCAGCCCCCGTGTCTCGCCCTGGGCCCCGCCCCCCACCGCACACCCAGCTTGTTCTCATACTTCCCAATTCAGCGACGTCGTCATCTCCTCCTGGAAGCTGTGACTTGGTACCAAGGGCCGCCTTCTGCTCCCCATTTCACCACTCTACCCATTTCTCTAGTAGCACCTGTTGAAATCCCTCCTCAGCATCGCCTTCGTACCAACTATTCTTACTGTTTTATTGTCTCTTCTACGAAAGAAGCATCTCCGTTTCGATACGGAATGGCTGAACCCGTCGCAATGGGCATGGTTGGTGCACATTCTCCTACGGCTCTTCCTCTTCCTGCACAAGAGATTGTACGAAGGTACTTTCCTGAGACTTGGATTTGGAACTTGGTGGTGGCAGAGTAAGTGACTTCCTTTATATATTAGATTCAATAAGATAGACACCCTCACAGTTTCAATTCTTAGATAATTTTTCTTTGATTTTATATATTTGAGATGTACATATATATGCATACATATATACATAATGACATCATTTCTTTTTTTTCCATAGTTTTATTGAGAAACAAATAGCAATGAGACAGTTTCAAATCCTATTAGTAGGACAGTTTCAATAATTAACACATTGCATATTGTTGTCTTAGTGGTTATTCATTGTACAAGACGCAGACATGATATCCTGTTTACAAACACTATTAGGACAAATCTTTCTGTTCATTGAATTAAGAGAATGTAGCTGTATATCTATCCTAACTATTTTGAATATACAGCAAAATGGTCGTTCATTTGTATCCCCTTTTTTTTGTTTAGTTTTGTCATTTAAATATTATAGGTGTGTGAATTCAGCAAAATATTCCAAAATAGTTCGGTAGTCCATAATAGTAGTGGGTTTTCCGTAAGACTGGCAATGTCAGAAGTTGTTGACTTGAACTTTTTACAGCTCAGCATATTAATATGGCTTTACTTTTTATGCTTTGTTTTTATACTTTTCTGCTGGATGGTTAAGACCAAGATAAAGCAAGACCTATATAACAAGAAAATGACATCATTTCAACAGTGAAGCAAATTAACATATCCATCATCTACTGTGGTTATACCATGTGTTAAAATGACCTAAAATCCATTCTCTTAGCAAATATTCAGGACACAATGCTTTTAAGTGTAATCCTCATTCTGTTCATCAGATCTCTAGACTCATTCATCCTATGTAATGACCACTCAGTACCCTTTCTCCTGCTTCTCTTCATCACCCCTCACCACTATACTGTGTCACTCTGTTTTTATCTAGTCCACCTCCTTAGATCCCATATTCATGTAAGACCACACAGTATATTTCTTTGTGTGTAAGCAGCTGTACTCTATGAGGAGATGGGGTAAATTCTTTAGGGTACACACCCAGAAGAGGGGCTTGTTGTTATTTATCCCCATAATTTCCCATAAGTCTGTACTAACTTATATTCCCTCCAGCTGTAGGCAGAGGTTTCCTTCTTCATAGCCTTACCCACATTTTTAAATCTCTTTTCTTTTTTCAAAGTACTCATTCTAATAGATGTAATATGACAGCTTCTTATGGTTTTGCCCAGATGATTAGTGCTGTTGATGATCACATTTTCACATGCTGGTTGGCTATTCTCAGGTCTCCTTTGGAAAAATGGCTCTCAACTCCCCTGACCCCTTTCTATTCAGATTTTGATTTTGTTTGTTTTTGCTATTAGGTTGAGTTCTTTGTATATTTTCTGTATATCAATCTCTTATCAAATATAGGATTCACAAATATTCTTTCTACCCATAGGATGCTTTTCATTTTGTTTAGCACTTTGAATGTATCATCATACTCCGTTCTACTTTGTAAAGTTTCTGCTGAAAAATTTCTTTATAGTCTTATAGTTTCCCTTGTTAGGAATGAATGACTTTATTTACTGCTTTCAAACTTCTCTTTTTATGCTTTTGTCTATCATATTATAAGATGTATGAATGTGTTTCCTTGAATTCATTTTATTAAGCTTCTTTAGGCTTTTTATATCAAGATGTATATTTCATTCCTCAACTTTAGCCATGATCTCTTTATATAAATTGTCTGTCTCTTATTTTTCTTATTGAGATTTTGATAATAGACATAGCCACATTCTTGATGGTGCCCCATAAATCTCTTAAGCTACCTTCACTCTTTTTTTTCTGTTCAAATTAAATGATTTCACACGACCTATTTTCAAATTTGTTGATCCTTTCACTAATTGGATCGCCTCTGCTACTGAACCCCTCCAATAAACTTTTCAATCCACTTACCTTCTTCAATGTATAAGTTCTACTTGATAATGTTTATATTTTCCCTTTTTGCTGGAATTTTTACCTTGCCCATGTATTTATCTTCTGACCTCCATGAGCATCTTTATGATTCTACTTTAAAATTCTCAACTGACTAAATCTTCATTTCATTACAATGGGTTTCTGGAAATTTGTTTTATCCTTTGTTTTAAACACCTTTCCTATTATTTTTCTTTTTTCTTTGATTCTCTATGCTATTTCCTGTACATAAGGTAACCACTCCTCCCAGATTTGTGAGACCAGTCTCATGTACCACATGCATTTTACCAAGCAGTCGTATCATAGATTCTAGGTGTCTCTCAAATCTTTGTTTATCAAACCACTACCTTTGTTCTGAGGAGTCCCAAGGAGGTTAGTGTATACCAAGACCTGCCTTGCCTTGAGATGAGAAAAAGGAACACTAATGCCTTGAAATTTCACTGGAAAATTGGTTATTAGGTGAGCTATCTAATTCCTTCCCTCCTCAAGTAGAAGCTGCAAACTACAGCATACCTTCCATTCCCCTGTCCAAAGCTGGGGAAAGAATCTGCAATAAACGCTTCCTCTCTTGTTTACATTGCACATAATTTCAACTCTCCACTTTGTTGTTTATTTTTCTCAGGGTCCAAATAAATACCTCTTCCTTTGCATTCCCAGAGAGAGCCAAATTGGCTGGACACTTAGCTTTATCTCTGAACCCAGTAAGCAGAGGATCCATGCAGCCATTTCAGTGCACAGAGATTATGCAATTGTCCTTCAGCTCCTAGCTGCAAGATAGCTAAAGATCTGATCCACGGGCTTGGGGAAGTTTGGACATCAAGTGTATAGGCAAACCTCTTCAGGCGGAAGCAAAGGACTGGATATTCTTGCATGTTGTCTTTGCACTGAGTCCAAAGAGGTAGCCATTAAAAAATGCTCACGCATCAACTTAAAACCATCTCTTTGTTCTCAGTAATCAGAGAGGACTTGAGAATACAAGTACAATCCATTCTCAGAGGTAGCTAAATTTGTGTAGAAGCTCCAGAAGTTGGAGTTCTTGATGCATTAGCAAATCCCTTCTGGGGAAAAGATGGACACTTAGTTTTATCACTGAAGCAAACCACATGGAAAGCTCAGGAAATATCCCTACTCCCGCTCAGGTGCTAGTAAAACTAATGTTCACCTGCCCCTTCTGCTTTCTAAAGAGGGTACTGAGAAGCCCAAACCTCACGCAACAGCTGGGAAAATGTATAGACAACCCTTTCCAGAGAGAAACTGGGAAGTATTAGTTAATTTTTCAATATTCCACCACCTCTTTTACATGTGTTTTCAGGAGAAGTTTAACATAAATACTGTTGTGAAGTTTCATCAATCTAATTGAATCAGAACGAAGAAATTTTACAAAAATTCAAGGATTTTCAGAAAATAGGGATACAGAGTAAATATGACTAGGAATCACACAGACTAAGAACTGTGAGATCCTTTACTGGTCATGTCTTGGGCTAAGCACACAATCAGTCAGGCCAAATATACACAATAGTAGTAGAAATAAAAATTATACACCTGCCCTCAGTGGAGCAGTATTTTTTTGGAGCAGTATTTTATAGATGAAAACTTAAGGACATCCTCAAATTATATATTTTGTTGTTTATTATATCATTTATTCATTATTATTTTCCAATTATGTATCCATAAGAGATTCTTACATAGAATTGGAAACAGTTGAAATAAATGGCATTATATTTTGCTATATCAAGTTGGGGTTTTTTTGGTTTTTTTTGGTTTTTTTTAGTGTATTTGGTACAGGGTCTCACTATACAGCTCAGACTCAGAGTGATCCTTCTGTTTTCAGCCTTCCCAGTGCTAGGATTATAGGCATGCGCCACCACGCCTGGACTCGGTCACCAGCTCAGCATGCCTGGGGGTGTAGCCGGCGCGGTATGTGATGCTGGTGATCGAATCCCAGTCCCTGCACTTGCCTAAGCAGGTGGTTAGTCCACTGAGCTATCTTGCCGACCCTTCAAATCTTGATTATGCCCTTCACTGTTGGTATTTCTGTAGAATCATGTAAAGTCACTTATAAGCACTCCTTTCCTAGGAAGGATTTATCGAAGTTTGCTTTCTGTCCCTCATGTGATCACCTTCCTAGCTCCTCAGGTGTGGCTGAAGTAGGAGTCACAGTTCCGGACACCATCACTGAGTGGAAGGCTGGGGCCTTCTGCCTGTCTGAAGACTCTGGACTTGGTCTTTCCCCCACCGTCTCCCTCCGAGCCTTCCAGCCCTTTTTCGTGGAGCTCACGATGCCTTACTCTGTGGTCCGTGGAGAGGCCTTCACACTCAAGGCTACTGTGTTGAACTACCTTCCTGACTGCATCCGGGTAAGGATTTCTCTTTCCTAAACTGAACACAAAGTGATAGTCAAGTAAATTAACAACTGTACTTTTGGGAATTCTGACAAATACTTGTATGCATGATGTGATCAATGGAGAAATAATGCTATGAGAGAAATACTGATACACATAAATAACAGTTGCTAACATCTCTAAATGCCAAATTGCAAAAGCAAATTTCTAGCCCTTATCAAACCCTTTTAAAATAGGTACTTTGTTCTGACAAGAACCAGAGTCTTGGTATAACATGCACAAGGCCCTGGACTCACTCTCCAGCACTGCAAAAAAGAGTCTTCCAACACAGTCAGCAAATACCAGAGCTTTCTTCTGGGCCAGATGATCCAAGATTCAACTTCTACATTTGCATACTTTTCCCAGCTCATTCATTACACTCAGCCTCATTTGAAAAGTTTCTTGCAAACATCTTAACTTTTGCTGAAGCCATACATCTGTACCTACTGTATACTGTGCTGGTAGAACAGAGGGAATGGTCACGCCCATCCAATAGGCCTGCAAAGCAATGTTCACACAGACAAGGGACCATCATTGCCTTCCCTCTCCTCCGTTCCACCACAGCAAAGAGCAAGCTTCCCCCAAAGTGCTAAGACCTAAACGCAACTTCACCATAATGTTCTAAAGGTGCTTGGTTTTCATTTATATAATCATTGCTACTAGGTACCCCAAAATCTAACCATTTCCTCAGTATGCTTTTTTTTCAAACACATTGTCCCCTGGTCCCTTCTACTTCTGATCCCTTTGTCTCTTATGTGGTTTCAGGTCCAAGTGCAGCTCAAAGCCTCTCCCAAATTCCTGGCTGTGCCTGAGGTTAAGGAACAAGAGTCTTATTGTGTCTGTGGGAATGAGCGGCAAACTGTGTCCTGGGCTGTAACCCCAAAGTCACTAGGTGAGGAACAGACTGCTAGAGTCTATCATTCTCTGCTGAGAAAGTGTGTGCCTCAGTGTGGTCCTCAGAGCCCAAGCTGCTTCCCTCAAGCTCAGACCTCCAGGTAGGAGGATGGTTTTTTCCTTCCTCCCTAGCACGCCTGGGAGGATCCACCTCCAAGAGGATTCTCAAGATTTTTGCTGCTTCCATTCCCGTTCTTTTGTTTTTATGCAACGAAAATTTAGAGAGCATTAAGCATTTGTACATGTAAGTTTGGAAGCATAGAGGAAGGGAAAGATGGAACTAGCCATGCTGTGCTTTTTTTCAGGCAATGTGAATTTCACTGTGAGTGCAGAGGCCCTGGAGTCCTCTGAGCTCTGTGGGGAGGAAAAGACTGTGGTGCCTACAGATGGAAAGAAAGACACAATTATCAAGCCCCTGTTGGTTGAAGTAAGTAATCCTGCCCCTCTGATAGAACACACTGAATCCCAAAACACACCAGTGAAAGCAGTTATGGTACCAACATTTCTTTGACCTTGGAACTCTATTTTGTATTTTAATTGGCTTTTTGGTACATATTTGTAGTCTATAAAGGCTACACTCCTTGTGGGGAGATGATACATGAACATAATAAATCTTAATTCTTTTTTGTCTACTTTCCTTCTCTTCCATCCCTCTCCCATGTATTGATCCTCTTCCTTCTTTATCTTCATTTTTATTAACTTTTATGTAAGAAGAGCTAAATAAGTAGTCCATAGTAAAAAAAAAAAATAGTCCATAGTATATCTATGATGAAATACATGTATTGATACTATGATAATAATAGTCTATAGATGCTTCATAATATTTTTCTTCTATGTCCCTCTGTACCTGTTTATCCCACCACCACCCCTGTCTCTTTGTCTCGGGATTTATTTTCTTTATTTTCCCCTCATACTCATTATCAACCTACCTTCCTAGAGTGCTTGCATTTATAGAATTTGTTCATATAGTCAGCTTTCTTTTCTTCACTGTTGAGAGATCTGTGATGCCCTCATCAGTGTATATATATCCTCACAGCCAGTCTGTTCTGGGTCTAATTTTTCTTCCCCTTTGCTTAAAGCCTGAAGGAATAGAAAAAGAAGCAACAATCAACTCTCTGATTTGTCCATCAGGTAAGGGTCATCATTACACCTAAATAACACTGACTAAAATTTGAATAGCATTTTAAGTCCAGAGAATTTTTTGTATTATTTCTATACTTTCTCTACATTGTAAGATCTGAAGCCTCATTAGCCCATGTGACAAAGGTGGAGAAAATGGTTCTTGAAGAGGCCGGGAGGGGCCGGGGAGATGGCTCAGTGGAATAAGCGCTTCCCTGGCAAGTGCAAAAGCCTGAGTTCAATCCCTGGTTCCACCAGAGAGAGAGAGAGAGAGAGAGAGAGAGAGAGAGAGAGAGACCAGGTACCTTGATCAGAGCACATTCCTCTGCCGCACATCCCTAATCTTTGTTTCTCACAGCCTGCAGACACCAAAATGTCTACCTGACCAGTGAATGTTATAAGCATAAGTGAAAAGTAGGTAAAATCAAATAATTATTCCCAAAGCATATACGTTCTTGAATAACTAGTTACACAACACAGGGAGAGCTGAATTCAGGCCGTTCCACCACTGAATTTTGCATAGTCAACAGCGCTTGAGAATGTTATCCAATCTCCCATAAAAAGATTTGTCATGACCTTTATTTATTATAACATTCATATTTCTTTGATGCTAATCCTGCACCTAAGGCTCTGTCAGTCACTTAAGAGGTGCCAGAAGAAGCTATAAGTATCTTGGGCTGGCGAGATAGGTCAGTGGACTAAGTGCCTGCTTAGATGAGCACAAGGAATGGGGTTTGATCCCCGGTACGAGGCTGAAAACAGGAAGATCACTACAAGTCCAAGCTGTGTAGTGAGACCCTGTACCAAATACATTTTTTTAAAAAGATATAACTATCTTCATGGAGAATTTTCTAATCTAAACCAAATATATCAAGAAATTTAAAGCACTAAGAAATCTATCAATATAGTCTGATCTCACACCAAACCAATGTTGAATCAACACAATACGTAGATCCTTTGCCTGTCACTGTTTACCTAATTTTGTTCACTATGATATTGCATATTGCTGAGATTTAAAGTGTCAAATGTATTCTAAAAATATAATTTGTTGGTTGGGAAGGCTTATTTCTATACTTAAATGAACTAAGTCTAATTATCTACGTAATTATACATGAGGGCATTCTGCTTGGATTTTAGCCATTTCCACAGTAGTTTTTCCTATTTGCTTATAAAATATTAAATAATAATAATCTCCTTGCATACATATGCAAGTATAGTTAGACACCAAAATGTAGCATTTCTGAACTTAAAATGATATGCATATTCTTAGGGGATTTTGTTGTTTTGTTATTTGTGATTTGATGATTCATGACTTTCAAGTTATGGAATATAAAGTGATATTATTTATAAGTTCATCATAGAAAAAATACATCTAATTTGTCAATACTAATATGACATCACCACAAATGTCTATGCTTTTTTGTGATGATAACATTTGAAATTCATTTTTTAGTAAGTTTAGAATGTTTAATTCCCCCCTCCAACCGGGTCTGAGAATTAAACCTCAGGTCTTCTACGTACTAGGCGAGTTTTCTACCACTGAATTACATCCCCAGTCCTTTTTGTAAATTTTATTTTGTGAGAGAGTTCTCCTAAATTGTTCAGGCTGGCCTTGAGATTGTGATACTCCTGCTTCAGCCTTCTAATTAGCTGGCATGGGCAGCCAAATCCAGTCCATGCAATTTATTTTTTTAACTAGACACATCATGTTGTGCAACACGTCTTTTAAAATTAAAAAAAAAAAAACTGTTGCTCCAAGACTATACCCTTTGATCATTATGGCCATGTTGCCCCAACTCAGTTGAGAATACATCTTGCATTGCATCTAGAGTTATATGATAATATGAACACTTTAACAATATTAATGTTTACAACCCATGAACATAGAATTTTTTCCATTTATTTGTGTCTTTTATAATTTCTTTCACCAGTGATTTAAAGTTTTCAGTATTTGGATCTTGGGTAAATTTAATTTTTTCTAAGGTACTGTAAATGGGCTTATTCCCCTGATTTCTTTGACAGTTCATTATTAGTTTATGCTAAAACTACTGATTGTGAGTTGATGTTGTATACCATAACATTACTGTACTTAATAGTGCTAACAAGTTTTTAGTGGAGCCTTCAGTGTTTTGTGTATTTACCAGCATATGGTGATTTTACTTTACCCTTTCTGGTTGGATGCTTTTTATTCTTTTTTATTGTCTGATTGCTTTTGCTGCTACTTGCTGTAGTATATTACTATTCTTTCTAATTTGCTTATGATATCTTTTTACAAAAGCTTTAATATTGACTTTATGAGAAACTGATACAATTTGAAAAAACCCATATTTTTCTCATTTTTATCTTCATATATGTCACCAAGATTAAAATGGAAGTAAGTATATGTCCATCAATAGTATTTTTTTTATTTTCAGTGAGTCGAGTACTGTTCATCTTCACTTCTTCACCTCCATTTTATAGGTCTTCCATAAAATAATGTCCTCATAGCTGGTGGAAACTGGCTGACAAAAGAATATAACATTATTATAGAATGTAAGGCTTTGGGGGAAATTTTTCCTTTTTTTATAGGGACATATAATAGGTTGCTGTTGCTGCTGCTGCTGCTGCTGTTGTTGTTTTCTTACAAAGTTGTGAGGTAAAGAAATTAAAATGCAGGGGCCGGGGAGATAGCTCAGTGAAATAAGTGTTTCCCTGGCAAGAGGAAAGGCCTGAGTTCAATCCTCAGTTCTGCAAAAAAAGAAAAAAGAAAAGAAAAAGAAAAAGAAATTGAAATGGAACAAAATAGATCATATTGTCATAGTCATATTATTTTTTTAAACATTTATTTATTTAGTGTGTGTGTGTGTGTGTGTGTGTGTGTGTGGCCAGCTCAGCCCACCAGGGGGCGCAGCTGGCTGGCATGTGGTGCTGGGGGATCGAACCGTGGTCCCTGTGCTTTGCCAAGCTTGTTCCAAGTAGGTGCTTTAGACCACTGAGCCATCTCTCCAGCCCCGATAGTTATATTATTTTAACCACAGAATCCCAACATCACATATCAAATTTTTGTCTTCTTTTGAAATGTTACTCTCCATATGGGGAGAATCATGAATGGGGATGAAATTCTAAACATCTCAAAATTGTAACGACCTTCTTCTAGGATTTTTAAAAAATCATTCTATTGAAAGAAACAAAATTTTCAGGATTAAGGGTAAGACATAATCTGACTTCAGAGTTGTAGAGCTCTTCCAAAAGAGACATTGCAGAGAGAGTTTGCATCTGGCTTATTTCTTTCACTAGGTAATGAAATATCTGAAAAAATATCCCTGAAGTTGCCACCAAATGTGGTAGAGGAATCTGCCCGTGCCACTGTCTCCGTTTTGGGTGAGCATCCCACCCCTGAGGGATGGAACGTTAACAGCCTCTACTCCATTTCCTTTCTGTAAATATGTATTCAAAATAATAAAAATAATTCCATTATTCTTCCTTTCTTCAGACTTGTTTATTAATTCCAATCATACTTTGGTCTGTAAAATGTATCCTTTCCTTTAAAGAATCCTCACATTTTAGACCAGCTAATTATTCATTGCTTTTTAATACTTTGGTAGACTACAATCTCCACCCTTCATGACTTCCCATCTCTCCCACTCTCCAGGAGACCTGTTGGGCTCTGCCACACGGAACATACAAAATCTCCTCCACATGCCTTACGGCTGTGGGGAACAGAATATGGTTCTGTTTGCTCCTAACATATATGTTCTGGATTACCTAAACGAAACACAGCAGCTAACTCCAGAGATCAAGTCCAAGGCTCTCAGCTATCTCAGCACTGGTAAGTGATTGAGTGAGTTAGTGCAAACTAGACAGTGTTGCTTCAATCGATTTTCCCAACTAGCTTGAATTGTTACCAATACTATTTTACACAACCTTATCTCAGTATGTGACTGCACTGATAAGAATATTATAATGATCAATTTTATAGACACTACCCACTCTCCAACTCCCAATAAAATCATCAGGACTCAGAACCTACTAATGCATGCCAGAAAAATTTAGAAAAACTCACAAGAGAGACCAAAGCATTTGAGCAATTTCTCTGGATTTAGCAGGTACCTTAATCTTTCCTGATGTTTCACTGACCTTCCATTCCAGGGTACCAAAGACAGCTAAACTACAAGCACCAGGATGG